ACCCCTTTATTCCTCCACACCCCTTTATTCCTCCCCACCTCTTTATTCCTCCCCCCCTTCATTTCCACACCCCCCCCCATCCATCCTAAAACCAACCCCTCCCCCTGCTGAAAAGCCTGCACCATCTCCACCCCTCAAATAATTTACCCCCTCCCTTTTCCCCCCATTTTGGAAAATGAGCACCCTCTGAAAAATGTGCACCCAGTCACAGAAAAGCAATGGTACCTGTGAATGGTACATACCTACAGTATACTCTGAATGTACCTATTCTTGTATTTCTATAGTCAAAGAGAAATTGACTCAAGATCCTGACAGTGAAGTTGCAACAACCAGTTTGAGATGTTCGCTACTCTGTCCGGTAAGAACACTACCGATCACAAGCTAGTCTACAGACCGATTTGCACTACACAACTTTTGCCTAGAACTTTCGCATGCAACCTGCTTACAACTTGAGTTGTACTGTGTAAATCAAGCACACAACTTGCCTACATACATTGTCATAGGCAAGTTGTGCGCTTGATTTTACACAGTACAACTCAAGTTGTAAGCAGGTTGCATGCGACAGTTGTAGGCAAAAGTTGTGTGGTGTAAATTGGACGTACAGCCACTGTAACTACTGTAAGTCTATGTGTCTATATATACTAAAACTGTCTGTACCAGTGTGGGTAGAACCAATGTGAAATTGCTGTGCTGAGTGGTTATATTATACTACCTGAAAAAAACAAGCAGAAACTCGACGTTTCGAGCGAAGGCCCTTCGTCAAGAGTTAGTAGAGTTAACTTAGTAGCTATATAATCCATTAAGTTCCATTGCCCCCCAATATGTCTAATGCCAAACGAGTTTACTCGTCAAGGGCAGAGTGCTGGCGCTCAATGGGTTAACTCCGGAATTCTTAATGCAACTAAGTTTTGAAAGAATGAAGGATAAATTTCGAATTTAGAGTCAGCCCCTTAGGCAATGGAGGTAACATCACTCAATGGTTCACTAATTCTGCAACCATCAATACCTTAATCGATTTATTAACTTTAATCGATTTATTAACTTCAGCCGTCAACAGAAATATACATATGCAAACAGGAAGACGGTTCAGGAACACTAACACAGCGTGAGCCAATTACGTTAGTGACCTGTTACAAAACATCATTATACAAAACTTCACAACTTATAATTTAAATATCAAACAAGAATATAGTATAATCCTTTTTATCCGAAGTAGAGAGACAGCGTAAAAAATTTCAAAATTTGGTAAAACAAAATGACAAAATTGTCAAACAGAATAAATGCGAGAATATATATAGGTTCTGTACCCGTCGATAAGATAAAACGAAAATGGCGAAAAACCCAACTCTACATCGGATAAAATGAGGTATACTACATTGAATAATTGCCAAAATAACTAGTTCAATTAAGAACAACATTTCATTGTTGCAGTAAGCTGCCTGGCTTTATGGCATTTCAGACAAACTGATTTCCACGTCTGCGGATTTTCCTGGTCAAACACGGTTAATGTTGCGGAGTGGTAATAGTTTATAACACGTGATTTAAAGCTCTGCAATGATAGTTCTGGTTTCCGTAGCTCATCTGGTAGGCAGTTCCACACACGCGATACTCGTACAAGATAACTGTTCTGGTGACATAGCGTTCTTACTTTAGGAATGTTATATTTTACAAGAGAGTTATTAGAAGAGCGTAAATTTATGGTTGAAGTCAGAGTGTCAACTTCTTCGGGTAGGATATCAGTTTTAACCAAGCCATATTTGCATTTGAAGAGGAACAGGATATCAAGATATTCGTGCCAGTAACAGAGAGGTAGCATATTCAACGCAGCGAGTCTCGTTTTATATGGCATGTCCGTTTGGAATGGTAAAGACAGTACGAATTTGGTCGCTCTACGTTGTATGCGTTCGAGCTCCATACACATGGTGATAGACTGTGGACACCACACTTGTGAGGCATAAGCAAGATGGGATC